CGTATCGTCTTATCGCCCAGCCCTAAAAACAGCAGTTCAAAATCCTATTAGTTTTACAGTTAAAAAAAGTAAATCGGAGGGAAAGAAAATTATTAAAGAAAAATTGATGGAAAAATGGCCAAAAAAAAGGTGGGATGAAGAAAAAACAGGAAGGTGGTTTTATTAATTTTAGAAGATGGTAGGAAAAAGAAGAAATAGAAAGGAGGAGAGAGTAATAACAAGCTAAAGATGTGGGCATACAGGACTTAATTATACACTTTTCAAAATTCAAAAGCATACTACTGACAAATGGGATTACTGTGGAAAATATGAAACAATAAAACATGTTATACTGGAATGTCATAAATATGAAAGCGAGAGAAGATATATGAGAAGAGAGTTTTAATGCATTAAGGAACATATTAATTTATTAGATATTTTGAGGACGAATTTGGGGAGTAAACATATACAAATAATTATTCGATTTTTAAAGAAAACTAAATTATTTCATAGAATCTGATTATAGAGAGGGGGAATGAGTCTATGATATGAACAGAAATTATATATATGTTTATTAGTAGATAGTCCATCATTAACCATACATCCATACCAGTAAGTGGCGGTAATGCTACTAAATGTTTGTGGCCAACCGCCAATAAATCCAAGAAGAAGAAGAATTAGAAATTTACGCCTACTGACAACTATAGCTACCAATGTACAGGTCCTTTTCAAAATATTAGTATATTGTGATAAAGTTCATTATTTTCCATACTGTAATGATAAAACTTGAACATTCATCTATTTTAGATTCATTGCACACTAACTGAAATATTTTAGGCATTTTATTGTCTTAATATGGATGATTTTGGCATACAGCTCATGAAAACCCAAAATTCCTATCTCACAAAATTAGCATATTTCATCCGACTAATAAAAGAAGTGTTCCTAATACAAAAAAAGTCAACCTTCAAATAATTATGTACAGTTATGCAGTCAATACTTGGTTGGGGATCCTTTTGCAAAATGACTGCTTCAATGCGGTGTGGCATGGAGGCAATCAGCACTGCTGAGGTGTTATGGAGGCCCAGGATGCTTCCATAGCGCCCTTTAGCTCATCCACAGTGTTGCGTCCTGCGTTTCTCAACTTTCTCTTCACCATATCCCACAGATTCTCTATGGGGTTCAGATCATGAGAGTTGGCAGGCCAATCGAGTAGTGATACCAGTAAACCATTAACCAGTGGTTTTGGTACTGTGAGCAGGTGCCAGGTCGTGCTGAAAAATGAAATCCTCATCTCTATAAAGCTTTTCAGCAGATAGAAGCATGAAGTGCTACAAAATCTCCTGATAGCTGCATTGACCCTGCCCTTGATAAAACACAGTGGTCCAACACCAGCAGTTGACATGGCGGCCCAGACCAACAATGACTGTGGCTACTTGACACTGGACTTCTGGCATTTTGGCATTTCCTTCTCCCCAGTCTTCCTCCAGACTCTGGCACCTTGATTCCCAAATGTCATGCAAAACTGAGCAACAGTTTCTGTTTCCGGTTCAAAGGTGGCTTGACCTGGGGAATGCGGGCACCTGTAGCCCATTTCCTGCCCACGACTGGATGTTTCTACTCCAGACTCGGTCCACTTCTTCAGCAGATCCCCCAAAGGTCTGGAATCAGCCCTTCTCCACATTCTTCCTCAGGGTCCGGTCACCTCTTCTCGCTGTGCAGCATTTTCTGCCACACTTTTTCCTTCCCACAGACTTCCCACTGAGGCCTCAGGAACACAGTTATTAAATGGTATTTAAGTTAGTTGCGCATTTCTAACAATTGGATCAAAGTTGTTGTAATATACATTTTTTGGGGCTCTAACCTCCCTAAACCCTCCTGCAAAGTACACCATTGCTGCTGACTACAGTAAGGATTGCAAAAACTTGAAGAGGGAGGATTTACCATCGAACCTCTGGCCAGAGAAAAAACACGTCATATGTAGCCAATATTTGGAAGAAGAATGTTTTCAAGATGACTTGGATAATAGCTGATTGTTACAAACAGCCAATACCGCACTGTGCAACACAAACCAGTAGGTGGCAGTAGTGTTCATTCACAAACATGGATGCCTCCAGTAAAGCACATTCAAATGAAGTTACTCTTAATTAAAAACACTAATTTATTGAACAGTATGTAATAATTTCATACTTAAAGTACTTTCAGTAGTCTGTATTCTGAATGTGACCGAACTTTTAATTTAAACAACTAGTTACACCCACCACAGTGAAATAATGTCACACATGCAACCAATCTGGTTGCACTATAGAGCCTTGCACAGAAAGAGGATCTTCGGTCCAGTAAAACTCCTGAGGGTAACAGCTGGAATGTGGAATTTTCATCTTTCTCGGAAACAAATCTTCCTCTGACGCTGGAAGGCAACCACACCCACCGAGCCTCTGCTGCCGGAATAGGACCCCTAAATGAGGTTTTCTCCTTTTTAACTGAATTAAGATACATTTTCAGATTTCTATACAAGTAAACAACAACAACAACAAAAAATGATGTGTGATAGCAGTTCCATAAAATATATATAGAAGAAGAAGAAATGTCCAAGGATGAATAATGAAATAAAGAAATTACAGCACAACAAAATAACATTTTTCATAATGGCAAAGAAACTGTTCTGCATAATAATGATATTCAGATCAACTCAATTCAAAAATACTTTATTATTCCCAAAGTTAAATAAAATAAATGAATTAAATATTAGTTAAATAGATTTAGTCACATAAAAGACCCCTAGATGGCTTGTAAAGACTTACAACTATTTCTTCCGCACATAAAACAGAAGCACTAGTTCTGAAAAGGAGTGTGAATTCCTTATTTATAATCGTACATTTTTGTATATTTTGTTGTCAGTTCACTTTTATGCCCCCAAGGTCTAGGGCAGGCATCCCCAAAGTCGATCCTCGAGGGCCGCTGTCCTGCCGGTTTTAGAGGTTTCTCTGCTTTAGCACAGCTGATTCTGATGATTGCAGTTCAGCAAAAGCCTGTTAATCAACTATCAATGTAAATCAGCTGTGATGGAGCAAGGAAACCTCTAAAACCTGCAGGACAGCGGAACTCGAGGACCGACTTTGGGGATGCCTGGTCTAGGGGTTCTGGGGAGGTAACATAAAAATGTGTCCAGAGCAAATAAGTGGAATGTAAAATGATTTATTACAAAAGATGGTTAAACAGACCCAAAACACAATACAGCTTTACCCAATTAAAACAAAAGAAAAGGGAAAAGAAAGTCAAGAATTGTTAAGAGCAAATTAGATTACAAACTGTCCAAACCAGTCAGCCAAGTTTAACACAAAACAACCCAAAAGAAAAGACAAAGGGTGCACCAAACCTCCCAAGTCTACCTAAAACAGATTCGGGAAAAAAAAAAAATATATACGAGCTAGGTCAGAGTTTTATCTGCCCAAAACAGATCGAAACCAAAGGTGGGGGAACAGCTTAACAAAACCTTCTTCCTACTAGCTATCCCCAAACTGAGGCCCCGTCCACACGAAGTCAAAACGAACACGAAACGCTAATATTTTCCAGAACGTTTGTCGTAAAGACGGAGACATAAAATAAATGTGATCGTCCACACGAGTGCATGAAAACGCTGCGAAATGTATGCCAGGCCTGTAAGTGGCGCTGTGGTGCCAAAGCAAAAATAGGCGAAAACAGGCAACGAAATCTTGGGCATGCGCAGTAATATTTATACAACAACCAAACCGGAAAAACGGAAAATGGCCCTGCGGGTCAATTTTTGTGGTTCAGGCAAATTGAGGTGATGAACTATGTCGTCGATATTGCTCTGTTCTTCCTGGAGATATTCCAGAAGAAGAAGATTCTGTTGTAAGCGCGACAGCAGGGTGAGTAGCATGAGCAGCAACCATTCAACAAAGTACGGCGCCATTGTTGTTGTGATACTGTGTCGCGCATGCGTGTTTAGAGGCGACGCTATGACGCATGCGTGTAAAAAAAAAAATGCGGTCAGA